AGAGGGGGTCATTAAGGGCCTATTATAAGCCCTATGACCCACTGCGGTAGCACGTACCGTAAGGGGTATTTAGGGTTTAGGGCAGCCACTATTAAAGATTAAAGTTACTATATGAACACCCCCGCCTCCTTAAGCACTTTAAAGGCCTATATGTCGCTATATGAGCCACTGTCTAAACTCCTAGTATCCCCCTAAATAACCTTATAGTAGTCCCCTATATAATCCCCTATATAACCTCCTTTAAGGAGTTTAGACTATAGCTCATATATACCCTATAACCCCCTGTTGAGGGGTACCTCAATTAGCGCCAAAAACTGACCAAGTGGCGAGGTGAGCATCTGCCGCATCGCAAGCAAGTACTCCTGCATTTTCCCCGGTAGCTATATATACCACGGAATAGTAGGGCTGTCTATGGACTATGGTTCAGGGCTTAGGGTTATAAGACATTATACAAGGTATTTCCAAATTATAGCTTAATAGATTGGGTTGTGCCCTACTTGGGCTCACTCCTTGGCTGAGATTCGGGTTTACGTAGTTTACTAGGAAGGTCAGCGGACTTCCTAAGTAGCTTTCGTAATCTAGGTGAAAACTGGGACTATTATATGTTCTACAGTGGATAGGGATACAAGTGTTCTGAATGAGCCCCCGATCCCTAAGCTTAGATTAGGATTTCGGTTGGGGGTTCAACATTTGGGCGTTCAGGCTTTTAGTTTTAGGCTTTAGGGGTTAGGTTCCGTGTTTGTTGGGGATGTTTCAACATAACGCGGGGAAGAAAGTAATGCAGCCTGACTATAGCTAAGCACGGCACCGATCCGCCGAACGCATTTCAGACCCCTGTCCGTTGGCCTAAGCTATACACCAACGTTTCCGTTGAAACTGCTATTTTGGGGGACCAAAAGGGCGGTGGAGACCGTGAAACGTGCCCCTCGAATGGGGCTTAAGGAGAAGTCGGTAGAGGTGCCTGTCTGAAAAGCAATGGATCTTGTTGGAAATCAGGTTCCCTGCCAACTTTACGCATACGAGGTTCTGAAAAGCTTTTTCCCGCTTCTGGTAGGGTAGCTAGGCCTTCCAAAGAGACCGTGAAAGTGTTCAGGGTCTAAGCCAAAGTGCCTTCCACTTCGGGTGTAGGTAAATTACGTTTAGGATGTAGGGTTCAGGTTCTAACCCCAAATCCTGAACCCTTGACCCTAAACCCTAAACCCCCTAAACCCTGACCCCCCTAAACCCCACCTTAAATCCTAAAGCCAGTAAAGCAACACAGCTTGAAATTTGGCGGGAGGGACAGCTGAGTAGTAAGATTATATTCCTTATATACAATACTATACCCCAAAAAGGAGGATGTAATCTTACTCTATATTGGGTACCATACTATCCCCAAATAAAATACTACTCAGCAGGCCAGGGATGAATATGGCCCAGGTACCTTTGGAACCAGCTCAGGTGCCAAGGAACCGTAAAACCCGCAAACCTGAGGTCAGAACGATTCAGGGCTTTAGGGTTTTAGGGTTTAGGTATCAACCCCTTTCAATCCCTAACCCTAGGGATCTATGTCTACAAGCAATGCTTGCTTTGGACGCTGAAGTCTATCACCACTACCTACTTTCGCCTTCTGGAGCCTAAGGACCATACCCTCCCTAAGCTCTAAACCTAAAAGCCCAAACCCTACACGTAAAACCCCTTCACGTTTTGGATGCTGGCGTCCTGTGCTTCCTCAGTCTCGCAGTCCCGCGTAGTGGTATCCTTCCGGTGGAAGAAAGAGAGGCAATCGGGTCCCTGGGTTAAAGGTTTAGGGATGCCCATCACTCCCTAATGTCAAGTATTCCCTTTACCAAGACTCCTGGTACTCCCAAATGGGCTTATAGGGCCTCTAATAGTGGGTACTTTGTCGCCAGAATGAAGAGTAGTTGGAGGGTCTAAGTGGATTTTTACTCCAAGCCCTACACCCTAAATCAATATGCATTTTTCACATTCAGGGTTGAGGTCCTCTCCATAGGAGGAAATCAGGTTGAGGAACCCATCATGTCAGGAACAACTTGTGTCAGGCAGAGTCGTGCGTCTTTATTTAATGGGCCCCAGGGTGGTTTAGGATTCAGGGGCTTAAAGGGATCCAAGTCAACGCTATCCCACCTCCTTCTTCGTGCAGCCAGGCGCTGCAAACAGAGGGTTGGCTATTGCCACGTACAACTGCGGAGTCCTTGGCGTTGCTGTTCTGGGTTTCAAGTTGAAACTTGAGGGGCCGCTGAACCCTAAACCTTAAACCCTTGTTTTTATCATTGTTGAACGTCTGGGGGTTCTTGCTATGGGGGGGGGTGTCCGGGAACATATTCCTACAGACAGGAGGCTTCTACACCGTGCTGGGGCCCTGTAATTGCTGCATTCGTTTGGTGGCGGCTTGCGGATCAGTGAAGGGGAGGAATTTACTTTGCAGCGCACTAAGAACACAACAGTCTTTGCTGGGTTGCTGTTAAGGAATTCAAATTAAGTTACTATAATCAGGAAACCCTATTAATTACTTCATACCCATAATATCGTAACTTAATTCAAGTTTTAACCATTAATCCAGTTTGTGCTCTCTGGGTACGTTTGGAGGTGTCAGTCTCGAGGGTTTGGGCTTGATATGGCTCAGTTGCTACTGAAAGTCTAGTGTTTGGGATTTGGGTTTCGGGTTTGGGGCTTAGGGTTTAGGGTGTAGGGACCGCTAAGTTGATAACATTCAGGCCATAAGGGGTAGGTCTCGAGACTCTTGGATTGTAGATTTGATCTTGCGTTATGCGCTGCGAGGGTGTACTTGGAAGCATGGGGGATGCAAGACACAACAAGTACAGTCCATGGGTTAGGGTTCAAGGTATAAAACTTAGATCCTAGGGTCTAGGGCTTGGGTTTAGGGCTTGTATAGAGTTTAGGGTTTTTATGGGGTTTAGCGCTAGAATATCTCAGTGAAAGAGCACTGCCCTTCCTAAAGCTACCCTCCTCCAAACTAACATGGAGACCGAGAAGTGGCCCGTTGTTGGCTACTGTGCTTTTAACGTTCAGGGCTTCGGGCAAGGGAGGCTCACACAAAGTTCCATGTAAGTTTGGGGGAGGGATAAACCCTTAAATCTTAAACTCTAAGCCCTTCGCCCTATATATTCCCACATAACCCTATAATACAACCTTATGTAGCCCTTTCTTCATTGTATACTTTAAGCCCTGCAGCTCAATCCTTTAGGCCGAGCTGCTCTGGTAACAACTCGCTGAGAAGAACACACAACACCTGAGCAGGCTATGTATGTTGGGTTCTCCTACTATGTAACCCCTAGGGGCCTCTCCAAAGGGGTTAATGTAGGGCTTAGATTAGGGTATACTCGTGTAGATAGGATGTGGCTCTAGGGCCACCCTATTATTAACATATGATAGCTCCATGGTGGTTACCTACGTATATCCGTGCATTACCATCTGCTACATAACGCAGAAACCGGGCAAAAACCCCTACAATCATATTCGCCTTCTGCATCTCCATTCCATGCTTATCCTGCAAGCCCATCAAGTCCGCTATAGGTGAACCAAAATGCCATTAGCAAGGACTACTTACAGCGGGTTGGTAGCGAAAACTGGAATAAATGGAACTTTGCTTATAAGCATCACTGTCATTGATGGTATAGGGCGTACTGTAGGGCCTGTAGACATCCATTGCTTTATCCCCTGCTAGCCATCAGCAAGCCTACTGGCACCCAGTGACCTTGCAAGATCTAGATATTGGAAAGGAAGAAATTCACCTAAACCTTCAGACCTAAACTCTCAAATCTATACCCTCAAACCCTTAGCCCCGAATCCCCAAACCCCAGCCAGATGTCTCTAGCAGTCCTTCATATACCTACATCTTTGCATGAACCCTGAACCCTGCACTCCCAAAAGCCATCACCCCTAAACACCGCAACCATACCTCTCTCCACTAATCCTATGTATACATACATACAATCATAAAAACATACATACATATATTCATATTGATATACATATATATATATGTCTGGATTTTCCCATGCACTTGTAATTGGTACTTCACCCAAACCCTCTCCGGGCTCCCCGGCCGTTGGAAATGTGCAGACAATAAGCTCTGCGCGCCGTAGGGGCTCGAGCCTGTTCAGAATGTTTAGGATTTGGGATTTAGGGGTTGAAGGTCTTAAAGGTTTAGCGAGTGACCGTTAAGGGCTTGCGGGCTTAGGGTTTAGGGTACTGTAAGGATGACCTGGAAATTGAACTTATACATGGGTTTACAAAGATAATTTCCAGCATTTTGGGTCACGTACAGTCCCTTTAAAGCCGATGTACACGTTAACATGTATGGACACGTAGGTTTTAATGGGATGCGAAGGGTTTAGGATTTGCAGTTTGGGGGTCAAGGGTTTAAGGCCCAGGGCTTTTGGATCTCGAAGCTCCAAATCCTAAACCCGAAGATCCCCAACCCCTAAACCCAAACTTGGGTTTCAAGCCCCAAATCCAGAACCCTAAGAACCCCAAATGCCAAACCCTAAACCCCGAAAAATGGGTTTCAGAAACCCATCCGAGGCCTCCGCGGCGCCCAGCGCAGCGCTGCACGGGCCTCGTCCAAGGCGTAGGACTCACCTCTGCTAAGATGGCATGAAAGGAGGGGAGAGAGAGAGATAATATACATATATATATATAGAGGGAGAGAGAGAGAATTAGGGACCCATAGAGTATCAGGGGTATGTAGGGATGTATAGTGCAAAGCCTTAAAGGTCCCATTCCCGAAGCCCTGCGCAAGGAGACACGCAAGAAGCAGAACCGCCATCGACTCGATGGCTCAAGCCGAGGAAAAGGCCAGGTGCCCAGGGTTAGGGAGGCTGCCACTGTGGCCCAACGGGCCACAGTGGTAGCGGAGCACGTAGTACGCTCCTAGGGTAGGGGCAGGCCGTAGCGTTCTTGTGCTTGCTCCTTAATGGCGACGGCTTCGCCTGCGGCTTCTAATGTACATGAAGAAGTTCCTGTTCCGGAAACTGATGAAGAAGAGCGTCCTCTGGTTTCTCTCCCCAAGGGTCTAGAACGGGCTCGCGAGATGAATACGAGGGCTTTCTTCGATTTTTGCGACAGAGCCAGTCACGACGTGGCAGGCTTCCAAGAGACACCTCCGAAGATGAGGATGGCGTCTCCGACCGGACCAATGCTGGTCCGCCGCCATCATGGGACGGCAACACTAGCTTTAAGGACTACTGGATCTGTGCCAAGTTGTGGATGGTCACTACCAAGACAAAACCTCGAGCTCGAGGCCCGCTCAAGAATCTCAGTGGCATCCCCTTCGACTCCATGAAGTACCTTGCTCGCGATGATGCTTGGCTCAAGGACGAGCACAACGGCGAGAAGCTCCTGAAGGTGATGGATACCAAGGAGTTGTTTGGTGAAGATGACCGTGAAAACATGTTGGCTTCCCTGGTAAAGATCACCTATGGTCTGCGTCGGGCCAAGAATGAAGACTATCAGTCCTTTTTCACGAAGTGGGACAATGCTGTCCGCAAGTTGGATGAGCATCAGATCGTGTTGCCGCCTGCCTGATTGTCTTGGATTCCTCCTTACGATGGCATTGAAACTCACCTCTGAAGAAGTAAAGCTCCTTCTGAACTTTACGCAGGGGAAGCTTGGTAGCAAATCGGTGAAAGAATGGGTTCGGGTTCACGAGACCAACCTGGACCTGACGAAAACGACTTCTTCGACTACGGCGTCCTCGACCGACAAGCGCGCCAGCATGATCCTTCTCGCCGAGGATGAGATTGAGCACGGCAACGACTACCCGGACGACGATGGTGACTTGGAGATCCTGCTGAACGCCATGACCTCTCTGGACTCCGACGATGGCACGATCAGCGAGGACAGCAACCAAGTGTTCGATGAAGACGAGGTCAAGGAAGTCTTGGCCGCGATGATCCGCTCCCATGGAAAAGGAGGGCAAGCGTACCCTCACGGCTGTGAACCAGGCCAAACGTTCCAAAGAACTGGCCAGAGGCTATGGGGCAGGACGTCTTGCTGGTCACCGCTTCCAAAATGGTGACACATACCGCGTCACCGTGGAGAACCTCAAAAGACGTCCTCGTTGCGGCCATTGCAAACGGTCGAGCATTGGTGGAGAGAATGCCCGATGCGCTCCTCCAAGATCGAGATCAAGGAGAATCATCTTCTCGAGAACCAGGAAGCCTTCTTCTTGAATTATCTCGAGTACAAGCGTAGCCAGGCCACAGCCCCTTGACCCCGGCACCTCGAGTAGCTCCAACAATCGTGACCCTTCAACCGCCGAAGCATACATGAGTGCGCCTCCGCTTGCTCAGGTTCATGAATGCTGGTTTGTTCAGGGTCAACTTGATGATGATTGTTGCGGCACCATAGACACAGGATGCCAAAGGTCCGCTATAGGTGCTGAAACCCCTAATCGCTTGCTCAGCAAACAGCCTAAAACTATGCCAGTAGCGATGGTTCCAGAAGTTCACCAATTTCGTTCGGTGAGCGGTTTGTCGAAGACGGACAAGGTAGCCTGTATTCCGAGTCAACGTTGCAGGTAACGCGAAAGCTTCCAGACAAAGCTGGATTTTGGCGGACTTGGCCATCGACAGATAGGATAGTGGGAAGAAAATTGCCAGTCCAGGACTGAAGAGGACACTACCAGCTTGGACAAGCAGGCTTTGCACAGTTGACGCCACGGCAACAACAACACAAGGATTTGTTATAAAATCTCTGAACTTGAGCTTTGGCCCACGCGCCGTGTACGCCAGGCGGCACCTCGCGACACTTAATAATTCCGACAAGTTTGGGCAGCGGGGGTTGTATTCTCCGACCTGCTTTCAAGCAATTCTAGGAGTTTCGCAAGCACAAGTCCAAGTAGAGCTTGAAGAAGAAAAGCTAGGTCACCTTCCTCCCTCGAAGGCACGCCGTATAGCTGCATGCCTGAAGCGGAGTGGGCAAATGTGGTCAGAGCTTTCTCGAGGCCTAGGCCCTAGGCCCCGAATCCGAGCAGTACTTGCCTGTCTTGAAAAGTTGTGCGCTAGATGATCTTCAGCGTCAACCAAGCAAGCAGAAGTTAGCCTTTTATCAGGAGATTTTTGGCATGAGCACAAAGGAGCTTCGTACAGTGACCGAAGTTTTCAGCCCAAACCGCTTTGTTCCCAGGGCTCATCGACATGGACTAAATGGGGGCAAGGCGCTTGACATTGTTCTAGGACAAGATCTACTTCTACCAGAAGCACAGGAAGCCGTGATCAGTTAAGTTACATCAAGCATCATCGTCCTGGACTTTGTGTAGTCTCTCCTCCTTGTGGTCCATTCTCGCAGTTGAACAACCTCAGCAAGCACTTTCGGGAGCAGAACATGTCAGCCATGAAGCGTTACCTTAAGAAAACCAAGGAAAGCAAGAAATTGCTGAACTTTGCCATGTCCATTTGTCAGCTGCGTTACAACATGGGTGGCGTCTTTGTGTTTGAGCACCCTTGGGCTGCCAACTCATGGCGAGAAGATTGTGTGCGGCGGCTACTGCGGCAGCCAGGTATCCATCGGTTTCGGAGTGATCAGTGCATGTATGGTCTAAAGGATGTTCGACAGCAGCCGTTGAGGAAATCCACTGGTTTCATGACCAATAGCTTGAGTATCGCCCTGAAGCTCCAACAGACTTGTCCAGGTGAGCACGACCGCTCCTGGATCTTTGGCACGTTGGACGGCAAGCTCAAATCGCAGCAGGCCCAACACAATCCGCTTAAGCTCGTGGATGCCATCTTGTCTGAGTATAGCCGTAGCATGCAAGTGCGCTTGATGTGGTTTCTAGTTCCGACATTGTGAAGGTTGATGCAGATCATTATCACGCATATTTTACCAAGAGTGAGCTTGCAGAGATTCATCACGGCTTGTGTCAGGAAAGCACCTTGGACGTAGAAGTTCCAAGCGAGGTTTGGCATCAGCATGATGATCCGGATCCACTTCCTGAAGTTGATCCTTTTTTCTGCAGGTGTGGATCCCGAACATGTAGAACAGGAGGGCATTCATGATCTTTCGGATTTTCGTGCAGGGGAATTTTATTGGCGTAGCAGTTGGTCTCTCCGAGGTGCAACTTGGAGACTTCTGGAGGACGAGGTCCGCTGGCAGGAGTTGCATCAACCTAGTCCCCAAGTTGAAGCTAGTGATCTAGTTGTAGCTCTGTGTTCCAGAAATCTGGGAGATCACCAATCTTGAAGAATGCGACATTTTCCTGGACTTCAAAAGGTCAATCTAGAGCGACTGGTCCGCAGAGCTCATGAGGGATTGGGTCATCCGGAGACGGAGAGGTTTGTAAGGATCTTGCGACATGGCAAGGCCCCACAAGCTGCGATAGACATTGCAAAAAGCTTGCAATGCTTTGTTTGCCAGACCTACAAGCTTCCAGATCCGGCAAGACGAGGAGTCCCGCCACGGGAAACCACTGCGGTGAATGACATGATTGGCCTTGATACGGTCCACCTCAGGGACCATCAGAATAATGCGGCGCCTGCCCTGAATATCGTAGATTGGGGTTCGCATTTTCAACTTGTCATTCCTCTTCGCCAGGAGACTTCCGAGGCGGTCCGCGAAGCGTACAGACAGCGGACGAAGTTTTTTGGACCTCCCCGTAAGATACTCAATGATTTGGGCACTGAATTTCGAGCACAGTTCACTGCACAAGCCGAGAGGGATGGTAGTGAAGTAGCGCCGGGACCTCTTGAGGCGCCCACACAACGAGGCTTGACAGAGCGAGCCGGCGGCATCTTCAAAGACTTGCTGTACAAGGCAATGGCGACCTATCCATGTAGCAACCTTGCTGAGTGGAAAGAATTGGTCGATATCACTTGCATGACTCGCAACAGGCTTCTTCTGCGGGCAGGTTATTCCCCAATTCAAAGAGTAATGGGATATACACCCCGGTTACCAGGTGGGCTGCTCAGTGGTGGCGAGAACGACATTGCCGCTGCTGATCTCCAAAGGATTGGCGACCTTGATGCCAGTCGGGCTATGAGAATGCGCAAGGCAGCAGCTTTTGCCTTTCACGAGGCAGACTGCTGGTCCGCGCCCTTGGCTGGAAGAAGGAAGTTCCAGAACTTCGAGGTGGGCCAGCTTGTCTACTACTGGCGTAGGGGTGCTGGGACGACAAAGAATCCCAGACAATCCTACTTGACGGGGCCTGGACGAGTTCTCCTCACGAACTTGCCCAGCACGGTTTGGATCGCTCACGGCAACACCATTATCAAGGCAGCTCCCGAACGAGTCGCATGGCCTCAGAAGAAGAATCGCTCTCCATCTCTGGATGGTTGGATGGCATCACTCAAGCTCGGGAAGCCTCGGAGAAGATTCCTAGACGCAACTTTGTCGATTGCTCCCAGGACGACGACCCCGTCGATGATGACGAGATGAAGGACTACGAGCCCTCCGACAATGAAGGCATCGAACGTGATCCTCCTGGCGATCCTCCTGGTCGGCGAGTTCGGCGTAAGATGACTAACTATGCCAGGCCTGATCTTCCTGACGATCGCCCTTCAGATGCTCTTCTGCAGAAGAACCTTCCGGACTACCTGCAGCTTCTTCCGAATCTGTAGTCGTGCAGTCCGGCTCTGAACTGGCTCCTGAAGCAGAAGAGCTAGTTCCAGACCGCAAGCGAGAAGCGGAGATGCCAGAAGCCGCTCCGCCTGAAAAGCGATCGAGACTTGAGCTTCTGGAAGTCTACAACCTTCAGTTGCAGGCCTTAGCGAAACAGAGGGGCAGAAAGGAAGCTCGGGCTTCCGACTTCGTGGGTGCGGATGCCTCGAGACTCCAAAGAGCCATCAGCAAGGAGATCCGCAACAACCTCTTGACAGGCGCCTACGAGCTCCTGTCGCCTCAAGCTTCGGATCAGGTGCTCAAGCACAAGTCCGACAAGGTCATGAACTCCCGCTACGTCTTGACCAAGAAGCCCCTTGAGCCTTTCGAGGTGGATGGAGCGCGTGCCGAAGACATTCTTCTTGAGGATGATGGTCTTGGTCCCAAAAGGCCAAATGCCGTCACGTAATGCAAGGGTTTTCAGATCCTTCAGCTCTGGATGTCGAGAGTACTACTCCTCAAGTTCAACGGGACTCGGTGGTTTTCGTAGCTCAAGTTCTTGCAAGCATGTCCTGGATTCCTGGTTTTCTTGATTTTACTCAAGCTTTCCATTGTGGAGACAAGACTGCTAGAGAGCTGTACTGCCGCCAACCTCCTGAAGGAATCCCAGGTGCTCATCGCAACCAGGTCTTGCGACTTCTTAAGACTTGCTATGGCCTGACGGACGGGCCATATGCATGGTTCCAACACCTAACTCGGAGGCTCACCCAGTACTTCGGCTACCAGGTCAGTCAATTTGATCCCTGCGTGTTCTACCTCAAGGAGACGACTGCCAAGTAGTCCAAGCAGCTCAAGGGCATCATCGGCCTTGCCACGGACGACATGATCCATGGCGGGGACGACGACCACTGGGCCATTATTGAAAAGATTGCCACCGAGTACAAGCTGGGCAAGAACCAAAAGGGCCAGGGCAGGTTCACTGGAAAAGACATCAAGTTGGAACTTGATGGCTCCATCAGCATTCGCCAAGCGTTCTATGTCAAGGACAAAATGATCATCAACCAGATCGCTCGCAAGCGCAAGCAACAGCGCTACTCGAAGTGCACAGCCGCAGAGATCGAACAACTTCGTAGTCAACTTGGTGTTCTTTCTTGGCTGTCAAAGGAGACACGCTGCGACCTTGCAGGCAGAGTCGCACTCCTACAGCAAGCCTTTCCAGAACCACGAGTTGCTGACCTCATCGAGGGCAACAAGATCGCTGCTGAGGCTATCAAGAATGCCGATCTTGGCATTCGTGTGATGCCCATCCCCTGGGATCAGCTTCGGGTCTCCGTGGTCACTGATGCTTCCTGGGGCAACTCCAAGGACAAGCTTTGGCTCGAGGACAGTTCTGACGACTACTGGGAAGAAATCGAAGCGGAGTGGATCCGCCACCACGTCTCTCCTCGAAGGACCACTTTCCATCCTGGAGCCTCACCTCAAGGACCAGATCTTCATCTCCTACTACCAGAACGTCGCACCGAGATCTACAACGACCACGGCAAGATTCTGCACACCGAGACGGTCAAGGACCAGTGGTGTGACCAAAAGGGGATCAGGGTTCTAAGGGAGGAAGTCTGGTTTGGTAGGACTGTTTTCCTTAAAGCTGCTTCCAGCCAAGAAGGTGTTCCCGCTTCCAAGGTTCACGGAAGTCTTGTACAGCTTCAGAATTTGTGCAGTCAGGCAGGCCAGATTGTAATTTATCATGACGCTAAGCTTGCCCATTCTGAAGAGCCTTCCATGACCACGGTGGCTTCGTGGCGTAGTTACAGGCTGAAGCGCAAGACTGTAGACACCCTGGCCGCCGGACTCGGTGCAGTGCACTGGCACCGTTTGCTTTTTCTTGAAGCCTTTCATGGCATGCTCAGCCTTGCAGATTGGGGGCGAGAAACCAGCAAGCTTCCATTCTTTGCTGCCGTTGATTCCAAAAGTTTGTACGACGCTCTGAGCAAATGCGCCAGTACAGTGGCGTATGCCAGTGACAAGCGAACAGCCATTGACCTGTCGATCATCAAAAGTGATCTGGCAGACACCTGTGGAAAGATTCGCTGGATCGATACTCGATCCATGATCTCGGATCCACTCACTAAGAGCCATCCTGGTGATTACTTACGTCATGTTATCCGTACGGGTTTGTGGGCTGTTGTCGAGGAGGGCCACGCCCTTCACAAAAAGGCTCTTGAACGTGAGCGGAGATCTGAATCCTCCTTCTTTTTAGTGCTTCGGGAATAGAAGTTTGGACCGGTGTAAAGCCTTAAAGGTCCCATTCCCGAAGCCCTGCGCAAGGAGACACGCGCGAGAAGCAGAACCGCCATCGACTCGATGGCTCAAGCCGAGGAAAAGGCCAGGTGCCCAGGGTTAGGGAGGCTGCCACTGTGGCCCAACGGGCCACAATAGGGTATATAGGGCTATAGGGTCCTGTTTCTAGGGGATGGAACGTCGAATGGAAAAGGACATAGAAGATGACATGGAAACTATGGCTTATAGGGATCTATAGGATTTCGGGTCTGGGGTATTTGGTGTATCTAGGCTTTAGAGGTTTAGGGTTCATATAAGGCTTAGGGTATTTGTGGTTAACAGGGAGGCTTCAGGGGATCATAGGGACTTACGTACACATGTGTAGGGGGGAGAGAGTGAAACATGTATGTATATATATATATATATATGGACACCCCCCCCATGATCCACCGACCCCCTGAAAGCACTGTAAATACCAATAAAAACCAGCATTTTTGCATGATCGGATTTTGGACACCCCCCCAATTTCGGATTGAATTGTATTCTATCCATACAAATTCCTTATTTAATTTCTTTGAAATGAATTCGATTATTGACTGTTGGTTTTGAACTGGATTCTGGTCTCCTAGTTGTATATTTAATTCTGGTCCATTACAAGTCTTCGTTAAATCTATATACATTTGATATTACAATTCTGGACTCCTGGATTTCTGGTTTCCACCTGGATTATGGCTAATATAACATTCTTATTAAATAAATACGTAAATAGCACCGAAGCAGAGAAAGCACCAACAGCACTAAAACCAAAAATCCAAAAAGCCAACTTTTTTTGGAACTATGGTGGCTCCTGAAAAAGTTGGATTTTTTGGTTTTCCTAGGAAAAAGTTGGTTTTCTTTAAAAAACAAACTTTTTCCTAGGAAAAAGTTGGTTTTCAGGGCTCAGGCTTTACAAAAATCAATTTTTCATTGGAAACCGTTGGTTTTGTCAAAGAAAAGCCAACTTTTTCCTAGGAAAACCAAAAAATCCAACTTTTTCAGGAGCCACCATAGTTCCAAAAAAAGTTGGATTTTTGGATTTTTGGATTTCCTATTTTTTTTGTGAATCCGTCCAAAATCAGGAATCTAAGACTCTACCAATTTCTTACTAAACTTCATTAGTTATACTAAGGGATTTATATGGACCAGGATCACATCCAAAATGAATAGCCAGGACTCCAATATNNTTTTAATAAGGGATTTATATAGACCGGGCCCTAAACCATAAACCATGAAATGCGGGGTTCCCACCTTGAAAAGCTGAAGGGTTCAAGTGCCGAGGCAGTATGGACTTACCTCTCGCTTAAGCCCAAAGAGGTACCGGTCCCAAGGGGTCCTAAGTGCCTATGTCGTAGAAAAGGTAGGGTGTCTAGAGTAAGACTTGCCTCTTATGGCTTGGGTAAGTATCCCCCATATAGGTACACCCCAGACCCGAAACCCTCATTGGAACTCATGGAAGGTTCCGTTAAAAAGGGGTCTACTGTTATGATGGTTCCAAGGTGGGGATAATACTGGTCATGATAGTAACAATAATACTGGTAATCATCAGTATTCCAAGTTCCGTCAGTCTTCAATAATCTATGTTTGCATGCATTCTTTCATTGTCGAAGGCTAATTGAGGTTGAGGGCCAATGGTTTAGGGCTTCGGGTTTTGGGTTTAGGGTTTAGCCGTCGGTTGGCTTATGTAAATTAATTCTGTGGACAGGCTCCGCATATAGAGTACTTGCAGAAGCAGAACGGACACAGCCCTCACCACAGCGAACCCTGAACTCTGAAGCCTAAACTCTGAACCCAAAACCCTAAGCCCTGAACCCTAACACCTAAACCCCAAAACTGTGCAAGAGGTACTGTGCTGCAGCGGCAGATGCAGCGGCTGTCTTCTCTGCTTCGGCCTTGGTCTGAGGCAGGGGGGAGGGGGTCTAGATGCTAACTCTACCAGTGTTGCAATTACTTTTTGAAATAACAATAGTAGTAGTAGTAGTAGTAGTAGTAGTAGTGGTAGTAGTAGTAGTAGAAGGAGGAGGAGGAGGAGTAGTAGCAGTAGGAGAGTAGGAGAGTAGGAGAGTAGGAGAGTAGGAGAGTAGAAGAGCAGGAGAGCAGGAGAGCAGGAGAGCAGGAGAGTAGGAGAGCAGGGAGAGTAGGAGAGTAGGAGAGCAGGAGAGCAGGAGAGTAGGAGGGTAGGAGTGGTGAACGGTCTTGAGTGTAAGGATTTACTGCGGGTGGGTTTAAGTGAAGTTTCAGGATTGAGGCTCCGCCCGGGCTAAGAGCGGAGGGTCTGACAGGGCGAATCTTATACAGGGCTTGTATGTTGGGCAATGTTCCGGTTTCATACTTGCTCTTTAGCCTGGGGGAAGCCCATGATGTTTGGAGACCAGAACCCAAAGTCTGTGTCAGGTTCATGTATCCGCATAGTATACGCTTAGACGAAGGCCTTAAAAGGGCTGCTACAGAATATAGCGACTGTAAGTAGGGTTTAAGGTTTAGGGGCTTCGGGTTATGATTACTATTCGGCTTCAGGGTCGTTTCGGTGTTTCGCAGGAGTTTGGCAGCTTCCAAATCCTCCATTGCAAGCTATGCGGGCCCAAAGGCTGCTTTGCAGTCGGTACATAGTTTATGGTTAAATATAGGAGCCTGGAACTATTATATTAAGGAACCGGAGACAACTCAGACCACTGTATAAAATTTTATCAGGGCGCCCCCCATCCTGCATCCAAACTGGGGCGGCCACAATCAAAGACAACTCCTGTCTCCAAGGCTGCGGGCGCTCCTGCATGGGTCCTCGGCGATGGTGGTCCTGCGGCCCAGTGGGCAAGAACCCCAAAATCCTGCACTTAACGAAGACCCCTCATTAACCGCCACAGTCCCATGAAGCTCCTGCAATTAACAACACCTTCCTGGTTTGCGTTCAAGTCGGCCTGCTTGGGTTTGGGGAGCACCAGTGAGGTTGAAATTTGCAACATCTATACCTGCAAGGAGCTACACATGCGAAGATCCAGCTGAAAACCCTGCACCATGCACCCAAAGCCCCGGAAAGCCCCTCAAGAAGGGGAGTTGGGCTTAGAGTTTAGAGTGTTTACAGATAAGCTGAGCATACAAGACCTGAAGATTCTGATATTCATCATCCGTATTCTGTATGTACGTATGTGTCTATGCATGACAGTCTGTCTGTGTCTGTCCGTGTCTGTTAGCACCAGCAGAAAAACCTGGCGTCTTTTAGCGATAAGGGTTGAGGGGTTTAAGGCTTGAGAGGCTTTATGAGGATAGGTTGTTGGTACAGTTGGTGTCTTTCACGAACAGCCCAATTGCCGAGTGAGTGCAACTTAGACGTCAACCGTGGGCTGAAACCCGGGTTGCCAACGTGATTCATCGCGCCTCTGATGAGCGGGGGGCCTGCAGAGAGGTGTTGCCCAGCTTCATAAGCTTGCTGTTTTCTGTATAACTATTCTGAACTTGGTACCCTTGCAGAATTACATTTGTTTACTGTTTCTTCGGGAGGTAAAGTTAAAAGTTATCTTAGGGCGATTGTCGAGTTTTTTGCGGTGGTTTTAGACTCTGCCAGACTAGAAGCGTTCTTTGGTCTGTATGGGTTGCATGTACATGTGTATGTACGTACATGTGTGTGTGTGTATGCATTACTTCATGTCGTTGCTGTTTTGTATGCAGCTATGGATGGATGAACGGATGCGTGAATGTGATGAGCTTGGGGAGCGGCTTGTAGAGACACACACACACACACACCCACTGCAGATGTGTTTCCACATTGCGCATATACACACAGGATTAAATCACATGTATATACATATATACGTGGACACAAATACTGCGTGAGGTTTGGTAACCGATTGGTTGTTGGCCAACCCTCACACGAGCTTCTGAATCTTGTTGTAGTAATAGCGCGTTCTTTTCAATTATTCTTACATACAAGAATTTCTGGAAGCACATTTTGTCCATATCGCATGCTGTCATGGGGAGTGGGGGTGGCGAGCATATTTGAATATATATATATATACAGACTAAACACATGTACATATGTACGTGTTGGATACTTATAATCGATGTGTATGGGTGTCTGCATATGTTATGTATATAAGTATATAGATGCATGAAGTATATGTATACATATATACATACATGCACATGCATGTGTACAGAAATATGCATGCAGAGGGTTGTGTAGCTTTGCACACACATGCGGCTTCTTAGTAGTGCCATTTTCGTCAAGGACCCAAGAGGCGCACTATCACAAGTAGTCGGGACTCAAACTTGCGTGCGCAGCCCTACGTAAAGGGAAACTATACACATACATGAGAGACATATTCGATGCAACTCTCTCAAGGCGCAGACTGAAATCACACCGTGCCTCCGATTGGCTCCTGTCGAAGTAAACGTCGACATCCTGTAGCAATTGGCATTCTGACGGGGACAAGGTTTGGGTTTGGGGTTTGGGAACTCTTCGAAGGGACTTAGAAAACGGAGAAAGTTCATTAGTACTCGGCTCATGGACACACATCCTTACTGCTGGATTCGGGGATCTCGTTCGAGCACATGCTAGACGTATCTGCATGCTGTAGCAGCACTGACAAGAGCAACAGCAGCAGAAGCAGTAGCATAGTAGAAGTAAAGGTAGCAGTAGCGGCAGCAATAGCAGGAGCAGCAGCAGCAGCAACAGCAGCAGGAGCAGCAGCAGGAGAAGGAGCAGCATCAGCCGCAGCAGGAGCAGGAGCAGGAGCAGCAGCAGCAGCAGCAGCAGCAACAGCAGGCGCAGGAAGGAGCAGGAGCGGGAGCGGGAGCAGGAGCAGCAGCAGTAGCAGGAGCAGTAGCAGCAGCAGGATCTGGAGCAGGAGCAGTGGCAGCAGGAGCTGGAGCAGTGTAGTACTAGCGCTAGTGCTAGTACTAGTACTCTAGCACCAGCACTAGCACTAGCAATGGGACTGGCACGGGTACTGGTACTAGACCTA